CATTCAATCAAAAATGAGATTTCAAAATATGTAGTCAACTGTTAACTGTAAATTTATGGTAAATTAATTAATTATATCTTTTTTAATAAAACATAATTATTTATTTATTACTTTAATAGAAATATAATTTAAAAGTGGTTTAAATTTTTTAATTACATATTTTAATATATTTAAATTATATATTTACCTTTAATTTAAAAATTATTTCTATTTAAGAGTATTAATCATTGTGCTATTGACTTATAGATCATTTAATATATCTCAAACTTATTGATTACAAGAAAAAAAAAATGAATAGTTATAAAATTATATTTTTATTAAGCCCTCCAACTAAATATAAGTTTATATAATTGAATTTACAAGTGGATTGATTATTGTTAAACTTATAGTTAATAGTAATACTGTATTGGCATGTATAAGATTATTTATATGTATGGAATGAATATAATTTCACCTAAAAAAAAAAACAAAAAAAACTATACAGCTTATCACATGATCAAATGTCAAAGATATAAAAAGAAACTGAAGACAATTATTTTACGCAAAAAATGGATTCTGACGATAGAGATACCCGTACACCCGAACAGGAAATAGCACGTATGTTTCGAGTATATCGTACGGTTCACGAAATGGTTATTGACAGGGTAAGCCTTTTCTCCGAATAATTATATTTTATCAATTTATACTGTGCTTCTATTTTTTGCGTGCTACTCTTATAGGGCTATATTATCAATAGCGATGCATATAATGATATCGAGTATTTTAGAGATCGTTGTGTTAAGAACGGCATAATTCAGTAAGTTTTTAAATTAAATTCGGGATTCGCAAACTTTCATGTCTAACTCATCGATAAATTTTTTAGCAAGGAATCAATGATGTTTCAAGTTCAAAAGAATGACAATCCCAATGAGCAATTGTTAGTTGTTTTCCCAGATGAGAAACCAGTGGGTGTTAAGTACCTCAAAATGTAATTATATATAATTCATACTTTTATTTTATACATCGCACTTTGTTAAACGTTATCTTATTTTTAGTCTATGTCAAAAAATGTTGGATCAAAAGGTTTCTCGAGGCATTGTAGTATTTCCGGGTACTTTGACATCTTCTGCTAATAAGGTAATATTCATTGATCTAACATTCTTGTGAAATTTTATACTAATTATCTATACCTTGGCTGTCAGGCCATACAAGTGATCAACACTAAAGAGAATAGGAATTACGAAATCGATACTTTTTCAGAGGCGGATCTAATGGTCAACATTACCCAACACCAATTGGTGCCGCAACATTATGTTCTCTCTGAGGAAGAAAAGAAGACTTTACTTAATAAATAGTAACTATATTTGTTAGAAAGATGTCTATTGGTGAATCAAGTCAATTAATACATTAATAAGTTAACTACTGCTTACTTATTGAGTTTAGTAGACTGAAAGAGACACAATTACCACGCATTCAGATCACTGATCCAGTCGCGAAATATTATGGGTTGAAAAGAGGACAGGTAATTCTTTCGTCTTCTTTGAGATATGGTTATATTCGCCATCAATTAATTTTAATCAATCAATAGGTAGTCAAGATTATGAGACCTAGTGAAACTAGCGGGCGATATGTAACTTACCGCCTTTGCTTTTAATTCTATTAATCTTGACGGATGATGGATTCTCGGATATTGTCAAATTTCACCTTATTATTATTTTTTAAAAAAATATATATAACATTGTCCGATTCTGTTCATCCACAAGCAAGCATTACCGGTGATCGCGTAGTTGCAACATTCAAAGCCGTATGGCTCGTTTAAAACATGAATTATACGTATTCCCTATTTTTTTTATGTTTCGTATAATTATAGCATAACGAAGTTCAATTATAATGACGGGATTCTGGTTTTAGATGTATTATGCAATCAAACTGCTTGAGGAAAACCTATTCATTCAATCAAAAATGAGATTTCAAAATATGTAGTCAACTGTTAACTGTAAATTTATGGTAAATTAATTAATTATATAATAAAAATTATAAAAAAAAGTAATTCTTTTTAATCCTACAACCAGATTAATGTGCTTTTGGATTGATAAAAGAATCAATAAAAAAGGTTTTTATATTGTAATAAAATAGGTTATCTTATATGTTATATTATTTTATTCTTTTTTTTATTTATTTTTTTTAGTATATATTATTGGATAATTATTTTTAGAATACATAAGATATATTTGACAGTTCAGGTTAATCAAATAGTTCAGGCTAATCAGATAGTTCAGATAGTTCAAGTTACTTAGTGGATTTATTATAATGTTATTATAATATTGAATCAAATAGAACAGACATATTTGATTGCTTAAGATAGTTTAAATTAGAATTTCTAACAATATTATTTCAGTATCAAATTGATATATAAGTTTAATAAAGTAGATTGTTGGTTTAAATTCTAGTTTAGATAATTTAAGTAATCTATAAAATAATAATCTAGACAATTTAAAAAACTTAGATAAAATATTATAGGTAATTATTATTTTAATAGATTTTTAAATTTGATTCTTGCAAATAAACTTGAATTTATTAATTTTTTTCTAATTAATAAACTTAATGTTTTATTAATTATTAATATTTATAAAGACTTCAAAAATAAATTTTTGTTTTTTTTTAAAAATATTAATAAAAAAGATCTATAAGTTCATAGCACAATAATTAGTACTTTACAAATTAAATCACAATATATCAGTTCAATTTCAAATAAAAACCATCAAATAATATTAATATAATATCTGGTTTCATAATTTATTAAGTACTGTTTTTTATATAAAGTCAATTTATATATTAATTTAATAGGTATTGAGATTGTAACTCAAAGATATTATAATATAATAATTATCTAGTTGATACTATAATAATTGCCA